CCCGAAATATCCGTCATCGACAGGCTGTTTTTCTCCTCACCCCACTAACACGGTGTTAGTTATGGACAAAGATTACACCCCATTGTCATCTACGTGCATCAAGAATCTTGTGGATAAGCTTTTTGAGAAACGCAAACTAGCCTCGCAAGAAGTCGAAAGGTAATTTGTAAATTATGTAATTAGCACACACAGGATTATCAAGGAATATATCAGTCAAGATCGACATTCAGATATTTCTAGGATCATCGGATATTTCAGCCAGGATTTCATTCACTCTGCTAGTCCTCATACTCGGAAAGGCGGCTTGCTAGGTTTAGCTTCAGTAGCAATTGGGCTTAACGAGGTAGGACTAATTTACATTCATGTTGTCGTCTATTTAGCATGCATGTCTTTTCCATGGACCGATCATTCTGCCAATTATTCGTACATTCCATGATAACGACCCACGAGTGCGATATTACGCATGTGAAGCCCTTTTCAATGTTATGAAAATAACTCGTAAAGAAACTTTGAATTATTTGAGTGACGTCCTTGATGCCATAAGTAGAGTAAGTATCTATTCATAAATAGAAATAGTCTTTATTAATCCTGTCTTGTGTGTGGGTTTCTCATGCTGTTAGAAGACAAGGTGTCTTCCATCCGGCTACTTTTTGTTTACGATTGATCCCATTTTTCGGAGTATACGAATTGACTGCTTATTCTGTAACGTGACAAGGAATTTTTCTGATAAAATGCTTTTTATATTCCATTTGGCTTAGGATCAAGAGCGACAGCTACCCCAAACATAGCTAGGTTTGTGCAGACAGGTGGCGTTATATGTCTTCATGCTGTAAGTTTGCTTTTTCCAAGCATACGCATAAATGTCACTGACATGGAATTAATGTAGAGTAACCAGTTGAAGGATATACTTCTTAGACAGCCAGTGTTAACCGAGATGAAATTAGGTTGAGAAACATTTAGATGTGGCCAAATCAAAACTTTGTATTAGTCCATAAAATCTTTGACAGTTAGTTTGAGACACGTAGGAAGTTGTAGACTGCGTGGTTGGGGTCCTCGGGACACTAAGAACCAATGGCTAGAGACTAGTAATGATATGGCACAAAATCTTTCAGTGACGGAGATGAATTCACTCTATATGATTTCCCATATCATTTAAACTATTGTTTCTCGAGGTTACTACTCTTTCTCACGTTTCTGCTTATTACTTTACTTTTGATTTCATTTTTTCTCTACTTGTCCACCTTTGTATCCTCCAAGTGATATGGCAGTTTGAACTACTGCACTTGTTTGGTAAGTGTAATTCTGAAACCGTCAATACATCTGCGTTGTTGTAGAAGGCTTTGAGATGTCTCAACTCGCTGTTTCTTGACCTCCACACAGTCGACGTATGCTTACGTTGTTCGAATCTGTTAATGTCTTCGTGAATTATAGCCATGTTTTGTGCCTATTTTTCTTGACTGATTGCCATCACCTTGGCTTAGTCACCAGGCTTACATATTGCAATGAAATGAGCTATAATGGTTGGAGAAAGCGTGTAAATTGTTCACATGGTTTTGGGGTCTGAGGGAGAAGTCGTACTATTTATGGATGAAGGGTAACAGCAGTGATGTGTTTCTCTTGGACGACCAGCCTGCTAGTTATGCCGCTTTTTCGCCTTAGAGAGGAGCGAATGGTAAAAGGCTTGAAAACTGTAGACCCTAACCCCCTACGACATTTTGCGGCAAACACTGAGGTATTCTATACGAACAAAACACCAAAAGCACCAACAAACAGACCCTTTGTCGCTGGTAGTTGTCTTCTGAGCTCTGTGATCACCCAATACTAATGCTTTCTCTGCTCCAAGTACCCCAAGATGAGATACGGTTCTTCGGCTAAAGCACTCTACTTCCGGTTAGTGTCCCGGGTTTAAGTCTCACTCCGCCTACTTCAACCTGGGCAACCAGATGATATCATTAGCTCTCACACACAAAATGTACCTCATAGCTTAGTACTGGGTAATTGAGTTATAACTAATTAACCCCAACAGAAAGTACCAGCAGTTTACTTCAACTTCCATATTCTTGCTTTCCTTCCTCTTTTAGTGCAACATCGATGACACTGTGATTATTGCCAAGGAATTCAACCAGAGAAACACGTTTATAGTTTTTCAGGGTCATACTGTCAACTTCATATTGTGACTTTCAGTCTCCTGCTCTTATTCCAAATAAGACAACTGATCTCACTGATAAAAAAGTTTAACATCTCGTATCGCCCTACCCTACCTAACCAACATGGGGGATCTACAGAATTCTTCTGTTAGTTTCAGTGGGCTCGTCGGTGTATAGACGTTGTGCGCTAGAGCGAAAACATCATTACTCGATTGGAAGGCAGTGGGTAGTCCTATGTATTCTTTCGGGTCGAATGGATCTGAAGTAATTAGTGAGGATCTTGATACTCTCTGACACCTCTTCACAGTCTCCACCTACTCATTTTGGGAAGGACAGGTTTCTGTAGGGAACTGCCTAGTCCACTGCTCAGATTTAGTATTCTCGCCAGCTACTTCCACTGGTAAAGGGAAGACGCTGAGCTGATCTGACGTCTCATGCTTATCTAGGCAACCGAAGAACAGACACCTGTGATTGTGTTGTATAATTCCTCTCTCAAACATAATCTACTGACATATTCGTAATTGGAGTACGTAGGTAAGTATTTAGGTTTATGGCTGCTACTAGTTTCAAATATAAGGGGACATTACCTGACAATGATTTTAGTCATTGAGTCGACAATGAACACATGGATTGCGTATCCGTAATCTAAATGATTAATGAGGTATTAAGAGTCACTGGTGACATGGTCCAAATTGTTTTTAGTGATGCAGATGTATTCACTCCTTATGGTATTTCGGATTCTGAAGATACTCAGTTTTCTTCCTGTAATTACACTTTCACCCGTAGATTTTCCTTTATTGCAGCTTCATCAAGTTTCTCTTGTGTACTTATATGTACTTTTATTACCTTTGGGAACTTGAATTAGTAGACTTTTAATAATAATTCAGCTCGAGCAGTTCAGTTATTTTCCAACTTTATACTAACTTAACTTGTTCAAGAAGTCGGGGGCTGGGTAACGCGTCCTAAGCGAAAGCAAGTTATTCAGTTAAGTTATCACCCTTTTTCGAATGATGGTTAAAGTATGTTACAGTCCAAAACATGCGACTAGTTCTTGGATGAATTAACGGTTGGTCTGAGCTGTTTAGATAGGTCACCTATCAGTAGCTTTCGAAGTGTTAAGAGTAAGTATTTAGAGATTCATAGTGAAACCACTCGGAATAGTTTCCAACACGTTAGATGGAGTCATTTGTCGGTTTCTAATTCTTCGGAAGCTTCATTTAACCGTTTTATCCTCTTACCTTATCTGTTATTGTGTAGTGTAGCCAGTTTGAATCGATGAATTCGAGTGCAAAAATTCAACGTTGACCTGACAATCAGTTGGACTAGCTGATTGTAAGTTGTAGGAACCCGAAGCGTTAGCCAGTATTATTAGATTCTGTGCTCATAGAAATTGCATTTCTCGGAAGGATTTTGTGTCTTATTGACTCTGTTGTTACATGTTTGTTCTAAACTGAATGTAGAAGCGTTTGAATGTCAACTTTTTTTTTATTGATTTGAATCTTTTCTTGCAATAGTTATTGATCATTTGATATGAGTACCTTATCGCAAAATATTGAATTCATAGATTGCGAATCACCTGCTTGAATGAGTAGGTTGGAGTTCTAATGTTAGATTTTATGACATCCATCATCTGCTGAGCGTAGATAACTTTATTGATTTCCTCAAATAGTGTTACTCTATTTTCGTTTTTTCAGGGTGTATCTGACTCTGACTCAACTGTCCGGCCTGGAGCGATGCACTGTGATAGACTTTTAAAAGAGATCATCGTGGAGACCGATATTTCAGACTTAACAGACGTCGTTGCATTGCTGAAGGAACGGATATATACAAATAATCCATATACACGGCAGTTTATTGTTTCGTGGGTGAGTCTATTAGTATACTGCATATAAACGGTTGTTATTCTATTGATTAGTCAATCATTTTACAAACTAGGTTTATGGGGATTAGTTTGTAGTTATGTATTCCTCGTGAGAAGGCTACTGTGTTGAGATAAAGGTGATTACACAACGCCAGATCAGGCTATAGTCCATTAGAAAATATTTCTGGTCGGTGGACAAATTCACGTATAGCATAAGATATGTACAGTCATCTCACGAATTTTTCTGTTCTTATTGGATGACTTTCCTGCAAAATCAGTGTTACTAAGATTTTCAGTACACTGTTGAACAGTGTCACAAAATTTGAAATTTTATTGTGTCTTATCACTGCAATAGAGTCATTGTTTCCTAAAAACCTCCACTAAGCTAACATTTCCTTCTCCGATACTAATTTCACCTTAAAAATGGTTTTCAATAGTGTACATGGTGTTATAGTTCTTTTAGTTCATGTATTTCGGAAAAACATGTGTATTATTATTAATATTACTGCATTGTAACATTTGTTATTATTGCTATTATTTTCAGATTACTACACTTTATTCAATTCCAGGATTAAGGGTTTGTGTTTATTTACCACAATTATTAGATGGACTTTTTCGCATACTTGGTGACCCAAATCCAGATATAAGAAGACAGTAAGTCAAGTGGATTAAATGCGTATTTGAATCATGCTTTCTTTAGCACGTTTCACCAAATTGAAACATTAAGTGTCACACTGAGTCTGTTTAGTCCCGTTCAATGGTTCTCACGTAGATGCCTTAATAAGGGTTTCACTTCCCTATTGTGTATACTGAATCGATTATAAATCGAGAGAAAAGTCCTTTGGCAGCTTTGTGGCAAAACACCCGTCGTCGTAGTATGAATGATCTTCAAAGTGGAGGAGAGAGAAATTGAATGGAATTGCAATAAATAGACGTGTAAGGTCAGCTGGAGATAAGGGAATATTGTCAATCAGGGAAATTAAATCTGGTCCGTCCTAAATAATTTCGAAACACTTGAACAAGATTCTAGAGATAGGAAGTGAAGTGGCAGAGCGTGTTGACTACTTCAATTATTTGGGAAGTTGCATCAGCCTCAATGGGCTGACCGCTGACGAAATCCCAGCACGCATACAAAAGGCTCATTTGGCACTTATCAACCTGCATCATCTCCAGTGTAGACATGATAGTTGGCTGTCGACCAAAGGATGTGTTTACTGCTCAGCAGTTCTATCCATCCTCCTTCATGGTTGTGAGATGTGGTCATCGGAAGTGGAAGAATGAAAAAGTTAGGTGTCATTGATCACGTCCGTCTGCGTCCTATCTCCAATGTGAAATGGTTTAATAGAGTGAGTAATACTGAGATTAGGCGTCGAGTGTTAGGTAGAAAGCGGAAATCTGTCGATGAGGTTAATAGGCTACATCGACTGAGATGATTGGGACATGTGTTACACATGCCTCGTCATCGCCTTCATTGACGGGCATTGTTAGTTGGCATAGAATGGATAGGTTGGAAAAGAGCTAGTGGTGGTCACACTAAAATATGGATAATCTTTGACAGTTAGTTTGAGACACGTAGGAAGTTGTAGACTGCGGGGTTGGGGTCCTCGGGACGCTAAGAACCAATGGCTAGAGACTAGTAATGATATGGCACAAAATCTTTCTCAATGACGGAGATGCATTCACTCTATATGATTTCCTATACCATTTAAACCCTATTGTTTTTCGAGGTTACTACTCTTTCTCACATTTCTGCTTGTTGTCGATGTTTTGCATCTCTGTAGTCTTCCTTTCTGTGTTATATGGAGTGTGGGAACTCGTACTGCTGCACTTCTGTGCAAATTTCTATGTTGAGACCAGTCAGTTAGTCATATGATTATTGAGTAGATAAAAAATATCAGATAAAAATTACACATAGTCATCAACACGAAAAAAACATTTTAAAAATGACAACTGATAAAATTACCTCATATAAGGAAAGTAAGTGAAATATCCCGATGCCATGCCCAAGTCTAATCACCCTAAACTACAAAATGTAGAATCTTCTCGTTCAATCAGCCTGAAAACATGAACAGTGAAATCAAGCAATAGATAGCAACATGGGAAATAAATTCCTATTGCAAAGCATTTCACTCCTTATGTTCAAGCTACTACCAGTTCTATAGCATTATCTTATTTTGACAGGGACAGAGTGCACATCAAACATACCCAGGTGTTTATTCAGAATTTTCAGAACACTATATTTTGTCAGTGGTTGCGTACTCAAAATTGATGAGCCATTTTAAGGGTAGAGATTCCACCATGTCGACAGGAGCCACAACCATCAGTGAAATTATACAAAAACGGTGGTCATCCGAATCCCGAATGTGTAATGTGTTGTCATAACTTCTGACGACAACTGTCGATAAGCTATTCGGCTGTTGCTCAAGTTAGAGGTAATTATCTTAATTGTGAGCGTTTGCCTTCTGGACATCCCCTCTGCAGACGAACATCGTATTAATATCATCTTTCCCTACGTTTCGGAGTGGGACTTAAGGCTTTGTCAGCACATCTCCACCTTTTCCTATTATTCTCCTCTTTCTTTAGCTGTGGTTATGATTGACCGTAGTTTCCCACATCCCCCACGTCACCCTTAGATTCCCAAATCCTTGTCCTCTGTTCAGGTTCCTTACGAGCGACGGCCTGGCGCGCGATGTCATTCGTAAGTCTCTTCGGCATTTGCCAGATCTATCTCCATTTTCTTTGGAATATTGTTTGACCGATAGGTTCTTGGTTGGTTCCTTGCCAGAGTTTCTTGTTGCTAATTCTTTCCGGCCGGCCATTTGATCCTCAGCATTGAGTTAAGGCAGCTGTTGATAAAAGTCGTCAGCTTGCTGTTGGAAATACTTCCTGTGACAAGCGAATTTTCTGACCCATATGGAAAAACTAACTGACTTAATATTGGTATTGAAAATCCGAATTTTGTTCTCTATTCTTAGTCAGAAGATTTCCAAACTGATTTCAGAGTGATGAACGTCTATCGTGCCTTCTGATTTTGGTTTTGACAACCCCGCCCGTTGCACCCCTAGCTGAAACGATGCTTCCCAGACAAGTGAAGGAAGTAACCTCTTTCAAATTTCTTCTGTTGATAGTAATTTGTGCTGGTTGTTGTTATTGGTTGGTTATTTTCATTACCTCCGTTCGTTGCCAGCATCTTCTACCCATTTGTTGGTTTTCGCCTGTAGGTCTTCGAGCTTGTGTGAGATTGTACATAAATCATCCTTGAAATCTAGATGTTCTAGAGTCTTCCTATTGGTCCAGCATATTCCCGTCTTCTCTCTCCCCACAGTCTCGCACGCAGTCCAGTGCACCAGAACTAGGAATACCGTCGGTGATAGTAGACAGCATTGTCTTCCTCCTGTCTCCACTTCAATGGTTCCTCTGAGCTTTCCGTTGTGGATTATCTGACACGCGGGATTGTTATATTCCTGTTGAATGAGGTTGATAAAAGTTTTGGGCACTCCGTAGTGTTGAAATACCTCTCGGTCAACGATGTTGAAAGTCTTTTCAAAGGCGATGAAGCTGAGGTGGAGGTTTTACTATCATTCTGTGTTCTGTCGTATGATGATGCATCGGGTTGTTATTTGATCCGCACATGATTAGATTTTTCTGAATTCAGCTAGTTCCGGATGGATTTTCGAGTCCAGAGCTTCCCTTAGTCTCTCCAAGATGACACGACTTAATATTTTGCTAGATGTGGACAAGAGCATAATTCCGTACAGGTTCTTGTAAGGGTCTAAGTCTCCCCTCTTTGGTAGTCCGATGAGGTAGCCTTTCTTTCATTCAATAGGTACGTTTCCTGCCTTTCAAACTTCTTGCAACAGTGGTGTAAGGATAGCCGCTGTGACTTCTAAATCAGTTTTCAGTGCTTCTGGAGGAATACCGTCTGGTTCTGCTGCCTTCCCGGACTTCAGTAGCTTCATTGCACTCAAGACTTGTGTTTTCGTTGGAGGATTGGTGTCCACTGGCAGTTCTGTGCCTTCTGGTATTGATATTTCTGGACAAGTTTCAGGTGATGGTCGGTTGACGAGTCCATTGAAGTGATCAGCCGATTGTTTTCTTTGTCTCTGCTCTTGGACAATTAGGTTCCATTGACCATCTTTTACTGGTTCCATCTGAGTTGATCTCTTCCCGGATAGTAATCTGGTTAATTGAAATAGTGTTCTGAGGTCTGTTACCTGCGGCCTGACCTGCTCTGCTTCAGTTGCCAGTGTGTCGTAGAATTGTGTTTTTGTCTCTTCTGCACTTCTTTATTCAGTGCGATATGCATTGAACTCAGCTTCTCCTTCTGCTGTCCATCTTGCATGGTTCAGCTTCTGTTTCACCATCCTCCTCTCCTCTGTTAGCTTCCATGTGTCCGTAGAGCGCCATTAATTGTCTAGCCTCTTCTTCCTTCCTGAAACGGTTGTACACGTTCCCTTGAACACCACTTTCGGACAATTCCAACGTTCTTCCACACAGGTTTCCTCTCTGATGCTGCGTAGTGTCTCCGGCTTTACTATGATGGCTGGAGTGAAGGTGTCATTTGCAGTTGAGTCTTTCTGTTTCTGAGTGTTGGACTTGAATTTTGGTCTGTCTCCTGTTGTTTTGAAAGCCTTCAGCTTGACCTTGAATGTTCCTCGCACTAGGTGTTGGTCTGAGGCGACTTTTACTCCCTTTCCCGACTTCGTGTCCAACAGACTGTCTCCACTTTCTCGGAATTGAGATAAAGTTTATCTGAGTTCTGGAGAAACCTATATAGCCTTGTCCATTTACTCATGCTTGTACACAGTGCTTTCAATCACAGAATCACAGAAGTCTACGAAGAGTTCACATTTCTCATTCATTTCGCTGTGAGCCAATTTTGCAAGTGTAGGCGACATTGCGAAAGCGGTTTCTAGTCTAGAGCGAGGTAAAGGACCAGAGCCTAATGATACACCTTCAGGAGCGTTGAAGAGTAGTGGTGCTAAATAACTGACTAGATTGACGAAGGCACTATTTAGTTAGAGGGATTGTTCTGTGAGACTGGTGAAAACCGGTGAAAGTCGCAGTTGTGAATATATCTGAGAGAATATTCTATGTTTATTAATTAGTTAAAAATTACATGAGTTTATTTTTTTGAAGCCACCATATTGTCTCACACATCACTGACTACACTCACCCTTGAAACCTGTGCTTAAGTTGACTATTTTCCACTTCATATTCTTATTGATCATGTATATTCTTGATAATAAGATAAAAAATTTTGTCTCTCATGTATCGGGTACCAAATAAATTGTCGAAAGCATGCAGGTAGCAAAGACTCCAAACAGCAGAGGCTATTGCGTTCCGGTGCTATGTGTGCAGAAGAAACAGGTCCATCCCCTTCTAATGCCCTTACTTTCTATGGAGCCTATGAACTCATGAACTCCATATTATTATTTTTCCTAATTGCCTGATATACAGTGTATTGCAGTGTTATGTTAATGCATATTATCACGCTTACAGATGCTATTGAAATGTCGCCTAGTGATATTAATGATTCGATGTTATTTAAACATTAATGTTTTTAACAACCCGAATTCCTTCATTCGAGAGGATATTCTTTGTTCAGCAATCAGTCTTTTGAAATTTGTTAAGGGCGTTTCTGATGAAAAGTGTTAACCATTGTACTCATGTAATTTTAAACACTGATTAATGAACATAGAATATTCTCTCAGGTATGTTCACAACTGCGACTGCCAACGGTTTTCACGAGTCTCATAGAACAATCCCTCTAACTAAATAATGCCTTCGTCAGTCTAGTCAGTTATTTAGCACCACTACTCTTTAACACTCTTGAAGGTGTATCATTAAGCTCTGGTCCTTTACCTCGCTCAAGACTAGAAACCGCTTTCGCAACGTCGCCTACAATTGCAAAATCGATTCAGGCTGAGCTTAGATCAGAGGGGAGCGTAGACCGATTCCAGACATCTCACGAAAAGTTATCGAGAAACCATGCTTCTCAAATTGCCTTTTGAAACGTGTTTCTTTAATAAGTCCAAGTGCTTGACAGGTATGACCTGTTGTTGATGTCCATTTCTCCCGCTCTTGTTGGAATATGGGATGACAACCTTGTAGAAAGCTCACCTCATCTCTGTGCTTTCGTAACCTGCTGCATCTACTACCTGACCAAGCATATATTCAGTCTTTACATTATTTTATATTCATCTTTACGCTTGTTAGTGCCTTCATTTACGTCAGTTGTTCTCTACTGTATGAAATTTCAGCTTGTCTGTACTGTTTCGAGTCACTAATCATTTGTTTTCAGAGAACCGGCTTCCAGTGAGATATCTAACATGGTTATTCTGACACTACATGTCACGGCTCAACCTCATTAATTCCAGCGTTTCCACACGGGTGCAAATTAGATGACATGCATGCTTGATTAGAAACTTCAAAAACCTTGTTAGTTCATGCTGCATTTGAGATAGCTCTGTAGAAGTATTTTATAGTTTTTGGAATGACTTGCGCATCACTGAATATAGGTGGTATACTTCGTGTGTGCTTATCAGCGACCTTTTGTACTGTGTCAGTTTACTGATAACGGTGTTGCATCACGCATGAAAGTGAGAGTTACATTACTTTACCGGTTGGTAATGAACATTTGCTTCTGTACCGTTGCTGCAGAAGGCTGGGGTTTTTGTTTAAGTCTACCTACTCACTGTGGAAATAAAAACGGGATGTGTTTATTAGTAATTCCGTCACAAAAAACTTTTATTAGAACGCAAGTATTGGGAAAGTTTGAATGCTCATTTGTGTGTAGGGATTTTAAATTTCACTTGTTTTGCCGTAGGTAACGTGTTTTAGGTGTCCGAATTATATATTTTGGAGATTTTTTAGGAAATGTGACTTACATTCGTTGTCTAATTTCATTATGTAATGTAAATATTGTGGATATGATAATTCCACTGCTCTTAAGGAAGTTTAAGTTGTTGCTTTTTGAAGCTACTCACATTGTTTGACAATTTTCATATCTTTGAAATGTGGTTTTACTATTGAGCTGATTTCGGTTAGAAAATGTTTTCTTCCCATTGTTCACCTAATATACAATTATCAATTTATACAGGCATAGTTTGTATCTCATTAACTGATTTCGCACCCGTGTAGTGCCAGTAAGAGTTCGCTCTTGAACGCTAATTTGTTAAACGAACAATCTTGGTTAGTCGGACTTTTTAACTGCTGTTGAGTCCTGGCTTCCTTTTTTGAGAAACTCCAGTTGATTTTATTTAAGTGCATGTATTTGTTATTTCAATTGTTCATTCTATTACTAATCAGTTGACTTTTCTTATTTAGTTTCAATTTGAGAAGATTCATTTTCCTTGTTTATTAGGTGTGAATTGCTGCTAACGGACCTGCTAAAAGAGATAGAGGCTAATCCGAGTGAAATTGCTTTGGATACGATGATCAACTGTCTAATAGTACATTGTCGACTTTCTGCAACAGGTGATTTCCTTGTTTTTATTTCTGTTCTGAGACAGTTTTCACTTAGTCTGAGGTAAATATTTCCAAAGCCTCAGGATGGTCGGGGGTGGGTGCCTTGCGCTGCGGGTTGGCCACCCCTCCGCACACCTCTTGAAATGCTCCCATATGACCGGGCGTCTTACATAGCCTCTCCTGAGGAAGTCCCACTCACTGCCTTCACGTGGCGGAGGTGTTTTTCACCAAAGTGAGAGGGCGAAAGCGGATGCCCGGCGCTCTTCACCGGGTTGACTGTCCATTGGATGACAGTCTAGGGGAGATGGCTAAACCCTGATTCCAAACCTCCAACGACTGGCGTATGAATCTCACTGGAGCTCACCAGCAGACCTATGGACAAAGGGCTTGTTGGATGTCTGGCCCCATTCAAAAAGGCGTATGAACCGAACTCCGGTCACCGGCTGCCAATGGATAGTGGACTCCCTACTCCACTCCTACTGCCTTGTAGGTCACACTTGGTTGTGTAAAGGCTAGAGCTGCACTCTCAAACAAAAGGCCGAGCGATTCTGGGGACATCACTCGTACCAAATTCCCATGAAACTTCATGAACTCCCTCACAAACGACTCTCACCATGATTCGAGATGTTCATGAAGCCGGCTCATCCTCCCGTAGGAGATAGCCGAAGTAAAGTAAAGTAAGTAAGTAAATATTTCAATAACCAAGGATTCATTTCTTTTACTTAAAAGTCAAATGCTTTCGTATCCGCATAACGAACTTTTTCCATGCTTATAATAGCTAGTAAGTGAAGGTATTTTCTACAGATGAACATTTGCATCTTACGTTACTGCTTTGAAGTTCATAAACCTGCAATAATTAGGATGTAAAACATGAGTTGGGAAATGTATATAGTGTAAACGGAAATCTTGGTGTTCTATAAGACAAAAAAGAAACGAAGAATAGAATAAGCAATATAATATCGTTTTAGTGATAGTCCAACGGGTGCATTGTCTTTTGTAAGGTACTTCAGTATCGAGTTATGTTTCATCATTGTAAATTCTGACTTAACTGTTGCGTAATTAAAGTCTCAGAGATGCAGTGTAACCTAACAAGGTTTTTGAAGTTTCTAATCAAGCATGCATGTCATCTAATTTGCACCCGTGTGGAAACGCTGGAATTAATGAGGTTGAGCCGTGACATGTAGTGTCAGAATAACCATGTTAGATATCTCACTGGAAGCCGGTTCTCTGAAAACAAATGATTAGTGACTCGAAACAGTACAGACAAGCTGAAATTTCATACAGTAGAGAACAACTGACGTAAATGAAGGCACTAACAAGCGTAAAGATGAATATAAAATAATGTAAAGACTGAATATATGCTTGGTCAGGTAGTAGATGCAGCAGGTTACGAAAGCACAGAGATGAGGTGAGCTTTCTACAAGGTTGTCATCCCATATTCCAACAAGAGCGGGAGAAATGGACATCAACAACAGGTCATACCTGTCAAGCACTTGGACTTATTAAAGAAACACGTTTCAAAAGGCAATTTGAGAAGCATGGTTTCTCGATAACTTTTCGTGAGATGTCTGGAATCGGTCTACGCTCCCCTCTGATCTAAGCTCAGCCTGAATCGATTTTGCAATTGTAGGCGACGTTGCGAAAGCGGTTTCTAGTCTTGAGCGAGGTAAAGGACCAGAGCTTAATGATACACCTTCAAGAGTGTTAAAGAGTAGTGGTGCTAAATAACTGACTAGACTGACGAAGGCATTATTTAGTTAGAGGGATTGTTCTATGAGACTGGTGAAAATCACTGGGCATTCCGTTTTATAAGAAAGGGAAGTAATCCTCCTGTGATATTCACCAGGGAATCAGTTTAACTAACGCAGCATTAACCAAAATTGCAGGCACCAAATGTCAAGTGAGATAGACAAAAATTAGAGAATCATGCTTATATGTGCCCGGAAATCAATGCACATTTGGATGATGTAGTTTCATATGTCTCCTGCTTTGTCTTAGTTGTTATTTTGAGCTTTCGAACGAATGCTGTCAACGTAATCTATGTTATTCAATGTAATTGTGCTGAAGTTGTGTATCGGCGAAATAGCTAATCTTAAGTTGTCGTCAGAAGTTATGACAACACATTACACATTCGGGATTCGGATGACCACCGTTTTTGTATAATTTCACTGATGGTTGTGGCTCCTGTCGACATGGTGGAATCTCTACCCTTAAAATGGCTCATCAATTTTGAGTACGCAACCACTGACAAAATATAGTGTTCTGAAAATTCTGAATAAACACCTGGGTATGTTTGATGTGCACTCTGTCCCTGTCAAAATAAGATAATGCTATAGAACTGGTAGTAGCTTGAACATAAGGAGTGAAATGCTTTGCAATAGGAATTTATTTCCCATGTTGCTATCTATTGCTTGATTTCACTGTTCATGTTTTCAGGCTGATTGAACGAGAAGATTCTACATTTTGTAGTTTAGGGTGATTAGACTTGGGCATGGCATCGGGATATTTCACTTACTTTCCTTATATGAGGTAATTTTATCAGTTGTCATTTTTAAAATGTTTCCTTTTATTACCTGTAGTCGAATTTTGTGTCCGTTGTTTGTTTGGTTCATTTGCATGCTTCTTTTTTTGTAGCATGTTCCTTCGTCAATGTTGCATTAAAATCCTCTTCACCACCCACATCGCAGTTTCCAAATTCTGTTGGATCGTCAGTCGTTGTTGATACATCAGCGCAAAGTGTTAG